GCTTTCTTTGTGCTATACGTTGAATAATGGTTAATTTTATATTTCTGCATTACTTTCTTCACTTGTTCGTTATAAAATTCTTTTCCCAGGTCAGTTTGCATATTCTTAGGAATACGTTTATTTCTTTTGAAAATTAACTGTAAAGCTCTTCCGACATATTCACCTGTTTTCCGTTTTACTGCTTGAGCCCATACAAATTTTGAGAAAACGTCTATTATAACTAAAATATATCGGAAACCTTTATTTTCTCTCGCATACGGAATCATTTCAACTAAATCGGCTTGATGTAGATCATCCAATCCTTTAACAACTACCTTACGGCGCGAGAAATTAATTCTTGCAGGTTTATGCAGTTCTTTCACAACTTCCTCTTTCACGTCAGACATTCCTTTCTGTTGACGACAACTACACAGACGATGCCTCTGTTGGTTTAGAACTGCTCGATTTTGTATTTCCAGCTGCTGTTTCTTCTAAAGTATCCAATCTTACCTTAAGATCGTTTGCTTCTTTTTTTAATGACTCCACCATTTTCACTAACTCCTTTTCCATGTCTTCTTTCTTTTTATTGCTTACTTTAATTTCTTTCTCTGCAAATTCCATAACTTTCTTGCACTCATCTTTAATCAATGTCTTTATTAATTCGACACTCACATCTATATCTCTTTTCATGTTTGTCACAATGTCGCTCTTTAGTTTCTTCGACAATTCTTCGTCACCTTTTCTAGCAAATGTTTCTACATTTTTACACTCCAATGTAATTTTTGCTGAAAGGGTGTCCATGATTATGACGCCATTCTTTTCTATCACATCATTAACCATTTTTGTTATTTGCTTATCTCTATCATTATTATAATTTTCAATTTCTCTTCCCATATTTTTAATTAATATATCCATTTTATCATTAAATGTTTTCATCATCTTTTGATTACTTTTGGAGACAAGTGTTTTTAATTCTTCTCGTAAATCCTTCATCTTTCTATCTCCTTCACTGACAGCGCTATCCTTTACTCTTTCACATTCTATTCTGATATGTTCTTTTGTTAACCTATCCTTTTCGTCTACATATTTTTTTGTAGCTGCATGAAAGCCAGCTGTAGGCTCATTCAAGTGTATAATACGTTTATTAGCCACGTCAACAAAATACAATACTTTGTCGAATGCCTTTCTAATATTCACTATATCATCTTGAGATAAAAGAAGTTTCAGCTTCTTCTCCAAAAATCGTACATTAACAGCATCATGCTCCTGCTGAGGGTCCCCGATTCTTGTTAAGCGGTTATGATTAAAATCGTGAACATTGCTAAATGCTTGCGAATATGATCGTTTTTTTTCTAACGCACGTCCGAACTTATCGATCGCCATTATCTAACTAACCACCCCCACAAATCGTTTATTCGATTATATTAGACTCCCGCAACTCTTCTAAAATTGATTGCATTTCGTTTTCATGATTTGTGTTGCCTGCTTGTTGAGAAGCAACCAATAACTTTAAACGATCACACAATTCATTAACATCATCAAAATATTTGTATTCTATCGGTTTTTCGTTGTAAGTCAACAACGATAAGCCTCCACCTTTAGAAGGCTTCGTTGTTTGCTGCCTTAAATTGTATACTGCTCCCGTACGTTTTAATATATCCGCATAGTCTCTCCGTTCTTTAATTGATGTCGGATATTCAGAACTTAATTTAAACAGTTGCTCGTATAATCCCACAGTACCTGTGTATTTAAATTTTCCATCGATTACGACGTCTGATCCATCAAAATCTATTTCAGAATCACCGATAAAAAATTTATTTGTGTCCCATTCGTATCGAACTTTGTCAAGACGGGGATTCACAACGTCAGTGTTAAATCTATCACCTTCATAGTCTTTAATAATTCCCTCTATATAGTCACGAGGTAGAGGATCGAATTCGTCAAAATATTCTCCAAATCGAGAGCTATTGAAATAATCTATATATGCTTCTTTTAATTGTTCGAACTCACTGTCATCCCTTCTTGGGTCAACTTCATATACACTTTCTTCCCTTAAGAAGGAAGGGGGACCTTGAATTATGGTAGCTGGACCATTCGAAGGATCAAGTTTTCTAATTTTTATTAGAGTTAATGATGCTGGAATATCAACTTTCGACCAATTCACAATCTTTGGTTTTAATTCCTTTTTGATCTCTTCACCCAACTCAGATTTCAAGTGAAGAAGCGATTTTGTAGTTGGTTGATAAGCTTGTTGCAATAGAAGATTCTGTCCTACCATCGATTCCTTTAACATTTGCAGTTTCCTCTTTACTGATTTCCTAACTTTGATTAGTTCTTTCTTTGCTTTCACATCCATGCTGTTGTTATGGTTGTCTTTTAACAAGTGGTTTCATTTATATTACCTACAGTAATATATATTTATCGAATCCTATGCGATATATTCCGTCATTTATACCACAATCCTTGTTAATAATTACAAATCCAAATTTTTCTTTCCAACATTCTCCACATATTCTTTTAAATTGGTCAAAAGTCATATCTGCAGTAACATGGTGGGAAAAAACGTGTTTCAGATTTAATTCATCTTGTTTAAACAGTATTATTAAATTAGCATTATCTCTGATTAAATGTTTAGGGATCTGAGCATATGTTTGATTTAAATAAAAAGTATCGATTGAGTTATGCCTTCCCATACTAAAATATTCTCTTATCTTACTCTGATTGTCATTCGCAACATCATCAAAGATGAATACAGAATTAGGTTTCGCCTGTGATGGACCTATTACTTCATCAGAATTTCTAAAAGGAAAATAACCAATTCCAGTAATTGGTTGTAACAATTCATTTAAATATTTATATTTTGGTTGATATAGCGACTTTGAATAAACATAAACGTTTTCAAACCGTAAACCGTTTGGTTGCTCCAAAAGTCCTATAATCACATTTGTTTTTCCACAGTTTGAAGGTCCAGCGACGATGCATCTTATTGTTGATGGTAATAAAGGCCCATGACGATTTATTTTCGCAGCAATGTTGAAGTCGCGATTGGTTATCGGTAGAGCAGATGGATGTTGTACTATCCGCATGTTTCTTCATTATTAAACGATTTTGCTGTGTTAACGGATATATAAATTTAGAGTTAACGTTACTTATATAGTCAGTTGGTTCGCAATAGTGAAAGCACTCACACCAAACCTAATACATGAAACGCGGCGTTCTGAATAGTATTATAGATAAGTTACCCATTGAAATACACCTCCCAGGTTATAATTTTTGTGGTCCAGGGACACGATTAAACAAACGATTAGCGAGAGGTGATATCGGTATAAATCCTCTCGACGAATATTGTAAATTGCACGATATTGTATACGCAATTTCACCAGACATTTCACAACGTCGAATAGCGGACAAGGTTTTAGCGCATCAATCTTTACGAAGACTAAAGTCATCAGACGCATCTATAGGTGAACGCTTTGCAGCTCTCGCAATTGCTTCGGCTATGAAGACTAAGGAGAAACTTGGAATGGGGCACAAACGACGACGACTACGTCGTAGTAAAAAAGGTGGTTCGATTCCGTTGACTAGAATAAATAAGAGAAAACGAATAAAAAAAGGAGGAGTTCTACCGTTTCGCAAATTAGTAACAACTGCGAAACTTGTTCTTAAGAAAAATAAGCCCTTACAGTTATTAGAGGCTGCTAAAATTGCACTGAATCAAATTCGAAAACTTGGAAAACGATCTAAATTTCCTAGAATCATTCCCATTCCAAAGACAGGTGGTTTTTTACCGTTAATTCCGATTTTTGCGGGACTATCGGCACTTGGAGCTCTTTCTGGTGGTGCTGCTGGAATTGCTAAAGCTGTACAAGATGCTAAATCAGCGCAGCAACAACTAGAAGAAGCTAAACGTCATAACAATTCAATGGAAGCCATTGCTCTTGGGAAAAATATTTCCATACAACCTTCCCGTAAAGGTTTCGGTTTATACCTTAAACCGTTTCAACAAAAAAAAACACAAATTTTTTCCTGAAATTACCTAATCATCCTCTAACAGATTCAGATTTACACAATTACATTCGCTATTTACAAATTCCACATTTTCGTGGAATCTTCATGCGTAACGAATTACCAAGAAAAGTTAAAAGATATGAAAGTGGAATTGTTAATTTAGATACCGGAACTGGTACACATTGGACAGCGTATGTAAAACGAAACAGCAAAGCTATTTACTTTGACAGTTTTGGTAATCTCCGTCCACCTAAAGAATTGGTTCAATATTTACAATCTGCTGGACCTTGCGATATCACTTATAACTACAATCGTGTTCAGAACCCCACCGATTTTAACTGTGGTCATTTAGTTCTCCAATTCCTGCAGAAGATTACGTAAATCCTTTTTTAATACAAACCATTAAAATTTCTTCTCTGTATTAAACAGAACGTTAAACCGAAAACATGTCTTACACATTCGCCTTGACTGCTACAACGTCGGAGCTACTAATGATAATAAGTCCACCGATTGTTTTAAGCGATGATGATGAATATCAAATAGCATTATTAAATTTTGAAGCCTACAACAGCATTCCCAATATTGATGAAAATAACAACAAATTTTATTTTGAAGATTCTAAGAAACCAGTCGTAGTTCTTCCGGAAGGATCATATGAAATTGATGATATTAATAATTTTCTTCAGGAGAAATTGGGAGATACTAACGATAGCATTCACTTGTCTGGAGACAATACTACATTAAAAAGTCGTATAAAGAGTACCAAAAATGTTGACTTTACTCCAACAGATTCTCCGGCGAAGATATTGGGTTTTGAAAATAAACTTCTATCATCGCTTCAAGAGGAGTCCGATCATGTAGCTGACATTTTCAAGGTAAACGCAATTTCAGTAACATGTAACCTTGTATCTAACTCCTACATACATACTAATGATGCTACTAAAGGACAAGATGGACATATATTACATCAATTCTTTCCAAATGTACCTCCCGGGTTTAAAATTGTAGAGAATCCCACAAGTCTTATATATTTATCTATCAACACACGTGTCATCGATTACATTTCCCTTAAAATAGTTGATCAAGACGGTAATCTTGTTAATTTCCGTGGAGAGCGTGTTACAGTAAGACTTCACTTACGAAAACTATAACATGGTTGCGCGATACAACTGTGTCCAACGTTATTCGAACAAAAATACTACTATAAAACGATCACCACACTCTGAGACGTTTATTTCGCTTACACCCGTTCAGCGATTAACACCGTCTAATAAACAGTTCCTTAAATCTTTGGGGTTGCGATTGAAAAAGGTGAAAAGTTAAAATGGTTGCAGAAATACTAAATGTCACCGAGAAAGCAGTCTTCGACAACGCTATTATTAACGCTGATAAACATACTCATCAACCCTATGCTAATTCAACTTTTAAAAATAATGATACCATACGCATTCCAATAGAAAATGAAGATGTTTACACCTTACCTTGCGGTAGTTTCCTATACATAGAAGGACGTTTACTGAAAAAGGATGGAACTGTACCAACTAATACTACTTTTATCAATAACGGAATTCTATACCTATTTGATGAAATTCGATATGAATTGGGAGGAAAAGTTATTGATCGAGTCCGAAATCCTGGTATGACTACAACAATGAAAGGCTATGCGTCTTACAATGAAAATGAAAGTAAACGTCTCATTAATAGTGGATGGTTGCCTCCTGCTTTAGGTGCTGTAAAAGGAGTTGCCCTTCATACCAGAAATCTGATTGATACAAACGGTTACTTCAACGTTTGTATTCCTCTTCGTATGATTTTAGGGTTTGGAGAAGACTTTCGAAAAATAATACTCAACATACGACAAGAATTAGTTCTAGTTCGCAGCAGTACTGACAATAATGCCCTCTTTTGCTCAGCAACACCGGCTGAAGAAGTTGATGTCCATTTGGATCAGATATGTTGGAAAATTCCTCATGTATCTGTTGCTGACGCTGAACGTTTGAAATTATTACGTTACGTTGATCGCAATTTAAATATGGAACTTTCTTTTCGTAGTTGGGAACTACATGAATATCCCTTACTTAACCAATCATATTCTCACAACTGGACTGTGAAAACTACATCACAGTTGGAAAAACCTCGCTTCATTATTTTCGGTTTTCAAACCGATAAAGGTAATGATATTACAAAAAATAAGAGTGTTTTCGATCACTGCGACCTAACAAATTTTAAAGTTCACTTAGGATCCACTATGTACCCGTATGATAATTTGAATTTAGATTTTGATCTTTCCAGATTTGCTGTTTTGTACGAAATGTATGTTAATTTTCAACAATCGTATTATGGTAATGTAAGTGAACCCTTATTCGATCCTAAGGAATTTCGAACAATTGCTCCTCTTGTAATAGTAGACTGCTCTTATCAAAATGAAATTGTGAAATCTGGAAGTATCGATATTCGTTTAGAAATTCAAACTAAACGCAATATACCAGATAAAACAGCAGCTTACTGTTTAATCATTCATGAACGTGTGATACTCACAATCCCTCTACAAACTTGGTTCAAGAAGTATAAAACCCAATGACTACATCCATACTTCACTTTCTTTATCGGTACTGAACAGTGAGCACGATGACTCTCATACTAGATGTACAATGTTTTCAATGTTGTGAGAATCGATTTGTTTTCAAGGAAGTAGCTATTGTTGCGCTAAAAGAAGAACCAATTTATCATTTCACATTTCAGCCACCATTTCCATGGGACGCCCTCCCAGTTAGTTACAGAAGTCAAAATCGTTGATTAACCAGAAATTTTCATGGGTTATATTGGGATGACGGTGATCTTCCATACTCTACGATTTATGATAGTATTCATCCTATGTTGATGGAGTCAACAATTGTATATGTTAAGGGATTACAAAAGAAAATGTGGTTATTGGAATACTTTCCTAATGTTAACTTTGTTAACATTGAAGACATCGAATGTCCATCTCTCTTAAATCTAGCAGCTGATTTTAAAGTAAACGTGTGTTTTTATCATTTATTTAAAACAGCTATAGAACCAACTTGTGCTTACAAAAATTTTCTTTTATTAAAATATTGGTTGTCTTTACACTCATAAAATCATTTAAACAAATAAAACACTTTAAAATAAAATATAGATTTTTTATTCTCTTACATAGCGCTATACAATTTACATTTGTATTTCTATATCAACTACTTTTCCAACAAATCCTTTGAGTGGAATTGATGGACGACCCACTTTTTTATCTATTTTATTGTTTATATCCTCGATTTCTGCATCCGTAAAAGCTTCTGCATGTCTTATGCGCTTCTAGGCAGCAGACCATCAAAGTATTCGAGGAACCTGCAGCTTGTCTGCGTATAAGGAGGATAAAGTTAATTGTCTAAATTCTAGTTGGGGGACGTGATACGTCGACTGATGATAGTCTCATGAACCTATCATGGCGCGTGTCTGAGGAGTGATACACCAAGGGAGTCGACGAAACTACAACTTCTATTCGTTGAAGGAGAATTGTGTGGTTGACCTAAATCATCGTTGGAGGACGTGACACGTCGATTTATCGCATTTTCATGAACCTACCTTGACGGGTGTCTAAGGCGTGATCCAACAAAAACACTCGACGAATCCACTGCTTCTGTGCGTGGATGGAGAATAAAATGAATGATCCAAATCGCAGTGAGAGGACGTAATACGTCGATGTATTCGTGAAACTATTTTGCCGCGTTTCTGAGCTGTCATACGCCAAAGTACTCTACAAACCTTCAGCGTCTAGGCGTTGAAGGAGAATCAAATTATTGGCCGAAATCATCGTTGGAGGATGTGACACGTCGATTTATGACTTTTCATGAACTTTACCTTACGCGTTTCTAGGCTGTAGACCACCTGCAGCTTCTCTGCATTTAAGGAGGATATAGTTAATTCTCTAAATCCTCGTTGGAGGACGTGATACGTCGATTGATGATATTCTCATGAACCTATCTTGACGCGTGTCGAAGGTGTGATACAATAAAAACATTCGACGAATCCACTGCTTCTGAGCGTACAAGGAGAACAAAATGAATGATCCAAATCGTAGTAAGAAGACGCAATACGTCGATGTATTCATGAACTTATTTTGCCGCGTTTCTGAGCTGTGATACACCAAAGTACTGTACAAACCTACAGATTCTAGGTGTTAAAGGAGAATCAAATGAATGGCCGAAATCATCGTTGGAGGACGTGACAATTCGATTTATGACATTTTTATGAACCTTACCTTATGCGTTTCTAGGCAGTAGTCGACCAAAGCACCCATGGAAGCTGCTGCTTCACTGCATGTGAGGAGAATATAGTTAATTGTCTAAATCCTCGTTGGAGTACGTGATACGTCGATTGATGATATTCTCATAAACCTATCATGACGCGTGTCTGAGGTGTGATACACCAAATGAATCGACGAAACTACAACTTCTTCACCATCTCATGAGCCTATCTTGACGCATGTCTAAGGTGTGATACAACAAAAACACTCGACGGATCCACTGCTTCTGTGCGTGGAAGGCGAATAAAATGAATTATTTAAATCGTCGGGAGAGGACGTATGCGTCGATGTATGACATTTTCATGAATCTATTTTGTCGCGTTTCTGAGCAGTCATACACCAAAATACTGTACAAACCTACGGCTTCTAGGCGTTGAAGGAGAACCCAATGGATAGCCGAAATCATCGTTGGTGGACGTGACACGTCGATTTATGACATTTTCCTGAACCTTATCTTATGCGTTTCTAGGCAGTAGACCACCAAAGTATTCGAGGAACCTGCAGCTTCTCTGCAAATAAGGACGATAAAGTTAACTGTCTAAATTCTCGTTAGAGGACGTGATACGTCGATTGATGACATTCTCATGAACCTATCATGACGCGTGTCTGAGGTGCGATGCACCAAAAAGACTCGACGAATCCACTCCTTCTGTGCGTGGAAAGAGAATAGAATGAATGATCCAAAGCGTCGTGAGAGGACGTATACGTCGATGTATGACATATTCATGAACCTCTTTTGCCGCGTTTCCGAGCAGTAATACACCAAAGTACTGTACAAACCTACAGCTTCTAGGCGTTGAAGGAGAATCAAATGAATGGCCGAAATCATCGTTGGAGGATGTGACACGTCGATTTATGACATTTTCCTGAACCTTACCTTATGCGTTTCTAGGCAGTAGTCGACCAAAGCACCCGAGGAACCGGCTGCTTAACTGCATGTAAGGAGAATAAATTTAATTGTCTAAATTTTCGTTAGAGGACGTGATACGACGATTGATGACATTCTCATAAACCTATCTTGACGCGTGTCTGAAATGTGGTACACCAAAAGACTCGACAAACCTACAACCTCTATACGTTGAAGGACAATTAAATGAATGGCTGAAATCATCGTTGGAGGACGTGACACGTCGATTTATGACATTTTCATGAACCTTACCTTACGCATTTCTAGGCTGTAGGCCACCTGCAGCTTTTCTGCATATAAGGAGAATAAAGATAGTTGTCTAAATCGTCGTTAGAGGACGTGATACGTCGATTGATGATATTCTCATGAACCTATCGTGACGCGTGTCTGAGGTATGATGCACCAAAGAGACTCGACAAATCCACTGCTTCTGTGCGTGAAGGAGAATAAAATGTATGTTTCAGGTCGTCGAGAGAGATAGTCGATGTATGACATCTTCATGAACCTATTTTGCCGCGTTTCTGAGCAGTAATACACCAAAGTACTGTACAAACCTACAGCTTCTAGGCGTTGAAGGAGAATCAAATGAATGGCCGAAATCATCGTTGGAGGATGTGACACGTCGATTTATGACTTTCATGAACCTTACCTTCGCGTTTCTAGGCTGTAGACCACCTGCAGCTTTTCTGCATATAAGGAGAATAAAGATAATTGTCTAAATCATCGTTAGAGGACGTGATACGTCAATTGATGATGTTCCCATGGACTTATCTTGACGCTTGTCTGAGGTATGATGCACCAAAGAGACTCGACGAGTCTACTACTTCTGTGCGTGGAAAGAGAATAAAATGAATGATCCAAAGCCTCGTGAGACCTCCTTTAACGTGTTTCCGAGCAGTAGTCCACCAAAGTACTGTACAAACCTACTGCTTCTAGGCGTTGAAGGAGAACCAAATGAATAGCCGAAATCATCGATGGTGGACGTGACACGTCGATTTATGACATTTTCCTGAACCTGACCTTATGCGTTTCTAGGCGGTAGACCACCAAAGTATTCGAAAGGCATTTAAGGAGAATGAAGATAATTGTCTAAATCATCGTTAGAGGACGTGATACGTCAATTGATGATATTCTCATGAACTTATCTTGTCGCGTGTCTGAGGTATGATGCACCAAAGGACTCGACGAATCCACTGCTTCTGTGCGTGGAAGGGGAATGAAATGAATGTTTCCAGTCGTCGAGAGAGGACGCATACGTCGATGTATGACATTTTCATGAACTTTACCTTACGCGTTTCTAGGCTTTAGGCCACCTGCAACTTTTCTGCATTTAAGGAGAATGAAGATAATTGTCTAAATCATCGTTAGAGGACGTGATACGTCAATTGATGATATTCTCATGAACTTATCTTGTCGCGTGTCTGAGGTATGATGCACCAAAGGACTCGACGAATCCACTGCTTCTGTGCGTGGAAGGAGAATAAAATGAATGTTTCCAGTCGTCGAGAGAGGACGTATACGTCGATGTATGACATTTTCATGAACTTTACCTTACGCGTTTCTAGGCTTTAGGCCACCTGCAGCTTTTCTGCATTTAAAGAGAATAAAGATAATTGTCTAAATCATCGTTAGAGGACGTGATACGTCGATTGATGATATTCTCATGAACCTATCATGACGTGTGTCTGAGGTGTGATGCACCAAAGAGACTCGACGAATCCACTGCTTCTGTGCGGCGAAAGAGAATAAAATGAATGATCCAAAGCGTCGTGAGAGGACGTATACGTCGATGTATGGAATCATCGTTGGAGGACGTGAGACGTCGATTTATGACATTTTCATGAAACTTACCTTACGCGTTTCTAGGCTGTAGGCCACCTGCAGTTTTCTGCATATAGGGAGAACAAAGATAATTGTCTAAATCATCGTTGGAGAACGTGATAGGCGATTGATGATATTCTCATGAACCTATCGTGACGCGTGTCTGAGGTATGATGCACCAAACAGACACGACGAATCCACTGCTTCTGTGCGTGAAGGAGAATAAAATGTATGTTTCAAGTCGTCGAGAGAGGACGTACACGTCGATGTATGACATTTTCATGAACCCATTTTGCCGCGTTTTTGAGCAGTAATACACCAAAGCACTGTACAAACCTACTGCTTCTAAACGTTGAAGGAGAATGAAATTATTGGCCGAAATCATCGTTTTAGGATGTGACACGTCGATTTATGACTTTTCATGAACCTTACCTTACGCGTTTCTAGGCTGTAGACCACCTG